CTTGCATGCATGCATCTGGCTCAGTTTATTTATTATGACTTTGACATATATATATATATTTGGGGGATGAGGGGTCTGTGGATTGCCGCAGTTCAACGATGGATCACAAGTTTGTAAATGGATGTCGTAGCAATTTTGTAGAGCAATTACGGCCAACACCTGCTTGTTATTTCAAGATTCCTTTATCAAATCGGATGCTCTCTCCCCGATGATATATGCCGCAGCCTGGGTATGAGCAGCAGGAATGAAGGGCTACTCATTTTCAGTAAGCAATAAAGTTACCGAGCATCAACGACTTACCACCACAGAAAGATCAACGATTCGTAGTCCAGTCAACCCTTTGACTCTCAAATCTGGATCAACGACTCCCCAGTCTGCACCTTTTGGGGGCATGCTGGCGGTCCCCACCGGATGATATACAGTTCCACCGTTCTCGCGGACGAAATCATCGATTTCAGCGTCGGTGCTTGTATAATTCAGGCCGAACGGAGAGATAACGTAGTTCTGCCAAGCCGGTGCGGTTGTAAAGTGCATCGCGCTCTTGACAGCCTCACGCATGATGAAGACATCAACGTCCGAGCCAAGTAGATTGGGATTAATGAGAGGCATTGCGAGCGGATCCCTGCTGTTGAGCGTCACCGAGCCACCTGGGAAGCGGGGTCAGATCAAAAGTGTCTTCAAGGATGAGAAACCTACGAGAAGCAGGAGAGACCACAGCGGGAGTTACACTAAGGAAGTTTCCCGGAGGTGGAAGAGCGAGCATCCCATTTGAGATAATGAGTTCATAATGTGATGTGTTCGGGCCCGCTGCAGGATCGGGGAAATTCTCGAAGATGGATGAATTATTGGGAATGCGCAACCACCCCATATGACTTAATGGATTGTCGACGAGAGGACCCGTTCGGCTGGTATTCCACTGTGCGAACTGCTCTGCTGCCAAAGTGGCGTTACGCTCCGCAGTCTCGTAGGTGTCATTCGAGTTGACAAGGAATGAAAAGAAAACGAGAGAATGGTCGCTGAGGTTTTGACCAACTGAAGGAAGGTTGTGCACAGGTGTAATACCGAGCGAGGTCAGCGTTGAAGAGTTGCCGATGCCTGAATGCAACAGTATATTCGGAGTGCCAATGCTACCCGCCGAGAGAATTATCTCTTTTTTTGCAGTCAATGTCAATCGTTTCCCTGAGTGAACGTCAGAATGCTGCTATAGTTCTTTTCTCTCATCCATACCGTCGGGACCCTGAACAAATTCAACCGTACGAAATGTGTTGGAAGTAGTTGGGAGAACGCGCGTCACTCTGGCATGCAATAGAACCTGCAGATTTGGACGCGCAACAAATTGCGGAGCCAGATAGGATGTCGCCGAGCTACTCCTTGACCCGTTCTTTATGGTCGCTTGTCCCCAGCCTAAAATAAATTAGTATTTAACGCATCCAAGTTGTCAAATTGTGCGCACCAATTCCGAGCTGATAACCAGAGTTCATATCGAGATTAAAGGGGTATTCCCCAAGTTCCCTCGTGGTCTCGATGACCCTGGAGTCCACCGGGCTTGGAAAGCCAGCAAGAGACACGCTGTTGATTCCGTGAAATCCATGTACGTCGGGGTTAAATTGACCAGTGGTGTTGTGGTGGTCTGACGGCGAGCTAAAACGTTCGTTCTATAATTCCTGAGTTAGGACTTTGAGGTCGGAATCAACAAGTTTTAAAATTACCTTTTTCATGTACGGAACAAGATTGTCCCAGGACCAACCATCGTCTCCAGTGACCTTGGCCCACCGGTCAAAATCTTCTTTCGAGCCGCGGGTGTACACCATATAATCTGAAATTACGCCCGTGAGAGAGTTGAACACATCATTCTTGGACTTACTTACTGACAGAACTGCTGCCGCCAAGAACGAATCCGCGATTGTACGCTATTGAACGGCCATTCAAACCAGCCTGAGGGGTTGTCGTGAAATTCCAGTCTTGCGGGGTATTTGGTGTTGCTCGACTGCAGTAGAAGGGTACTATGATATCCAAAACATCGGCATTTCTATGTTTAAAAAGTAAAGTAAAATCCACCTAATTAAGACAGAGATCTTACGAGCCCCCTGCTTCCAGCACCAAAACCGAGTGGTCAGGATTTTCGGAAAGGCGATTTGCCACCACGTTCCCCGCTGTCCCGCCTTCACAAAGGTAGAAATCAGTATTTGTATCAGATGGTCAGAGTAAAAGTCCATGCCTCCGACGATAATGAAGTCGAACTCGAGGTTCAACTGGTCCAGATCTGTGGTACTCTCCAGTATAGCACTTGAACATCGGGTGATTCCGAGTGTCAGAAGAAGAAGAGAACTGAGCCAGGCCATGGTACTCGTGGTGAGCATTCGACCTGCACCCTTTGGGTTTTAAACAACTGAATTACGTTCATCACGGGAGCTGGAGGAGCCTATCTCCGACGTCTTACTCCAATCTTCAATATATCTAGCTAGCGATTTTCTTCGTGGGGCTCGGAGTTCCGAGTCCACAGAAATACCTGATTGGTTCATAATACATCGGCCACCAGCATAGTAGCCGCGTTTCGTGAGGACTGACCCAAGTTAGATGTAGCTCTATTCATTAAAAGACCCATGCGGCAAGACTCGGAGGAACCCATATATAATACCAAACTCGAAGAAAAAGAGCGAGAGAAGTTAATACAACATTGACGGCAAACCGGTGGACGCGGGATAGTCAGATCCTTAGGTTCATTACTAATACAGCTCTGCTTGATAATATTATTCATCCCTGCAATTCTCCGTGCTGGGTGGGCACACACGGAGTTCAATGGTCGAATTAAATCCGATTGGCTACGAAACTGACCTTTTTGGAACCGCTTTAGCCGACGAAGACTCCAGTTACACATCAGAAAGATGGATGAATTAAATCCGAGGCAGGAGTAATTTGTCGTGGATCATAAAAAGCGTCCAAAGGGACTCAAACCTACCCTACCACCGGGACGGAGAAAAAGACATAGATGAGAACGAGCACTGGGCACTGACATCAAATAGTACCACCGAAAACGATGCCAAGACGTCTTTCACCATATCCGCGGGGTTGAACATGTGAAGAATGGAACAAGACTCAAGATGGGGATACAATCAGTAATCACCGGCTTGGCCGGAAGCGCTTTTTGGTCTGTTGGACGATGATTGCTCCGGCATCGGGTTAGCGTTGGGATCCTGTCAGCTTAGAGGTTAGCGATGACAGATACACCTGGGTAGGTAGGTAGGTAGGTAGGTAGAATTACACGGCACGGTACCGCTTAGGAACGCCGGTTTGAGGAAGTATCCCGGTATAATACAGGCTGTTTAAATTACACCATCGTCCCTCACCTCTAGAAGCCACCCAAGCCGAGCTCACGCACCCAGTTTCCCGTCACGCTGTAGAACCCAGACGACTAAAAGAAGCAAACCCAACCCAGTAACATGCAATATCCTTCAATCAGCGACCACTTGAACCCTAAACATTGAGCATCTGTCCGTTAATTTCACGTCGTTATCCGTACTCCAGTTCACTATATTTGTCGTAATCGGGACAGGTTGTGTGGGTGGAAAACTTTGTAAAGGATTAGATGACGTGGGCATGGTGGGTGCATACAGGAAAGACATGCTTGTCGCTGTGCCGAGTAAACACAACACGTAATGATTGTCTGTGGGGATGCATCAAATCAATTAATGACATGCTTTGCTGGGGGGGGGGGAAACCAAGAGGTGTGTAGTGGTCCTCATCACTTATAATCTCATTATTGGTTAGCATATGTACCCGACAAAGCATTTTGCATAGAATTCCGACAGAGCAATCATTTGGCGTTATGGTTCGCCTAAATCAGTGAGAAGAGAGATAGTGAAATTATAATCTCGAGTTCGCGCAGTAGACCGTGGCCGACACCCTGCAGATGAAGTCCGCCAATTAGTCGGTACAAAGTAATACCCGAGCTTGTAACCAAGCTCGGCTTTCCTACAGGAACCCAAGGCCTGGCGGGGATCAGCCGAATTTCTACAGTCGACTGTATGTCAAGTTGGACCTGGCAGTTCAATTCGTCAAGCGAAATTACGACAGTGTTGATTCGGTGGAAAATACATACTTACTTTAGTTCTCAAATTCTATTCCAGAAGGTGGGTCATATATGCACTTGTTTGTAGAAGCAGAGAGAGAGAGAGAGTCGGATTCAAACTAGTTACATAGATAAATATAAACAGATCGGACCCACCGCACTCGAAAGATAAAACGACTTCGAGTCGTCCCAGTTAACTGTCTCCAGATCCACTATCACGAACCGGAAACGGTTGTAATAAATAAAATGACGTTGCAGCTGGGCTTGAGGTACGGCGTGTTGGACCGTCAAGGTGTACAAGCTCAACCCAAAAGGAACACGCAGTGTTGAAGACGAAGCAGAGAAAGGCCGCCAAACAGATATTCCAAACCTCGAGCTCGAGCAATGGATAGTTTGACCTTGCATATCAGAAAGAATTGGGACATTGGCGAGGAGATATTCAATGAAGACTTGCCGCTCAAAGTTTGCGCCCTAATTGAGAGCTGCTTTCCGTGTCGAATTGTTCAATCATAAACATGCAGGAGCACGCTATGTACTTCGCGTTGGCGCCGATTTAACGCTTTGACTTGCACCTCCAAAGCTCTGGATACTGGCTAAAGGCTGAGCTTGAAAGACTTCTGGACGACACCAGTAATGTTATAAAGAAATATTATCTGTAAGCAGGAAGCTGAGCAGCGAGTGCCTCGTTCACTGCCTGGGTCACTGCGGTCCCACGCTGGCATCGAGCCAGCGGATATTGATGTACCCTCCCTCTGGATTCAATAAACAATAAACCAGTCAAGTATCCTGCAGCTGGAAATAATAAGCCAGAAAGCAAAGATTTGGTGTGTTCAAATCGTGATCTTCTGAATCAAACACCAAAATAAAGAGGTTGGGCAGCGGTTGACATAAAGTGAACCAGTTACCAAAAAAAGTCCGATATCAGGATCCATGTCTCCAGTGGGATTCAAACCCACGGCTCCTCAGTACAACATCTTTAAGCTGAGGCAATTTACCGCTCATCCACGGAGGCGCGAAAAATAAACACCGTGAATGGGTCAATCCAAGGTAGAAAGAATGACAAAATTGAACCGCGAAAAAAAGCCGATTGAATTGCACGAATGCCTCTGGTGGGATTCGAACCCGAGACTCCTCAGCATTCACCTCATATGAATGAAACTGAGGTGATGTAACTCATCCACAGAGGCTTGACACTCTTACATTCTTTGCAGCCTAACTAGTCTGAAAATAATTAAAACCACGAGACAGCGCAGTAGTCTATAAATTTAAAAGCAAAAGTCTATTTGAGCAGTTGGATATCTGTGGAAAGATGAGTACTGGTGGAGGCACAGACTACTGGTAGTTGACTGAAATTTTTTTAAATTGGGAGAAGGAACTAAAAACCAATGCGCACTCCATCTTGAAAAAAAGTGGGGACAAATCCGGTGCCATTGCCTCTGGTGGGATTCGAACCCACGGCTCCCTGTTAAGGACTCAGCCTTATTTCCCATTTTGCCAGGGCGATCTACCGCTGATCTACGGAGGCATGATGGGTGTCGATGTCGAGCTTATGGCATAACAAAAATGAAACAATTTCAAAACCAGATGATTCGCGATTACAACCAAAAAAAACTAGGTTCAACAATACAAATGCCTCTGGTGGGATTCGAACCCACACCTCCCCATAAATGTTTGCCAATGCACCTATAAATCTGAGGCGATCTACCGCTAATCCACAGAGGCATGATGAACACCTCAATGAAATACATCAGATTCAAAAAATTGAAAATTGAAAGAAAGAAAGAAAGACGGAATAAAAACAGTTTATCGTCGATAATGCCTCTGGTGGGATTCGAACCCACGTTTCCTCAGAATAATATCCTTCACCACCAATGAGCTGAGGTGATCTACCATTAATCCACGGAGGCTTGATGGGCACCGTGAACGGGTTAATGTAAGGTTGAACGACAAAAAGCAAACCACGAAAGAAAAAGGATGCAGGATAAAGGCCATGCCTCCAGTGGGACTCGAACGCACAGCTCCCTGTTACAATTGATGACAAAGGTCAAAATGACAGGGCGATTTACTGCCAACCCACAGAGGCATGATGGACATCATAAACAGGCCAATCTCAGGTCGAACGAACCACAAAAAATTGAGCCACGAAAGAAAAACATTACAATGAACAACACATGCCTCCGGCGGGATTCAAACCCACAACTCCTCATAAGCGCAACACCTATTCATTATGAAACTGAGGTAATTTACCACTCATCCACGGATGCGTGATGGGCACTGTGAACGGGTCAATCATCTAAGGTTGAACGAACGACAAAAAATCAACCACGAAAGAAAAATGATGCAGGATAAAGGCCATGCCTCCGGTGAGATTTGAACCCACAGCTTCCTGTTACGATTGATGACAATGATCAGAATGACAGGGCGATTTACCGCTAATCCACAGAGGCGTGATGGGTACTGTGAACTTGTTGTGAACAGGTTAATACACGGTGGAACGAACGACAAAAATCAAACACGCAAGAAAAAAGCTTATGTAGCCCGTATGCCTCCGGCGGGATTCGAACCCACGGCTCCTCATAATGAGAGGTACTACAATGTATATAAAGCTGAGGTGATTTACCGTTAATCCACAGAGGCGTGATGAATACTTCGAACGGGTCAATTCTAGAGGTTGAATGAGGGACCAAAAATTCAACCACGAAAGAAAAAGCATGTGAGGATTGGGCATGCCTCCGGTGGGATTCGAACCCACGGCTCCTCATAAATGCAATGCCCCTTCATAAAGCTGAGGTGATCACCGCCCATCCACGGAGGCGTGATGGATACACCGTAGGGTCAATTCTAAGATCTGGGGTTGAACGACGGACCAAAAATCGAACCACGAAAGAAAAGCATCTTGAACTGAGCATGCCTCCGGTGGGATTCGAACCCACGACTCCTCAATTATCTTGATAGCTCTGCAGTACAAAGCTGAGGTGATTACCGCTCATCCACGGAGGCGTGATAGATACATCGTGAATGGGTCGATTCCGAGATTGAACGACAGAAAATCGAACCACGAAAGAAAAACATCGCCACAACAATAATACATGCCTCCGGTGGGACTCGAACCCACGTCTCCCTGCTAAGATACAGGCTCACGACAACAATTTCAGGGCAATTTACCGCTCATCCACGGAGGCGTGATGGGCAAAAAGTGAACACCTTGGATGGGTCGGTCTAAGTTAAAATGAACCACGAAAGACAAAAGACTATGGTGGAGTCTGACGAGAGTTGACCAGAACGACAGTGAAATCCCGAAGACATTCAAACGCTATGGCCAGGAGGTAAACAATTCGTTGTTGGAATCAAACGGCCGTCGCACACGAGCGCGATGGTAGGCAGGCGCCGCAGCGTCCAGCGGCCGGCGGCGCCTCAAGAATAAGCCGGCGTATGTCGAGCGACCTAGCAACGAGCTTAACACCCACCGTGCAGGCACCTGGCACTCCTGGGTAGTCTAATCCAGAATGAGACCCGATATCAAGAAAAGTGAAGGAGATTGTGGAGGATTGTGGAGGGCCGGGTCGGATGTCGGGCTGTGACTGTGGATGTCTACCTGTCTCGGTAAGATCCAGTGGATGAGTCTTGGCCCTTGGGTGACTGGTAGCATGCTCTGCATTTGATATGCTGAACGTTGCAAATGCCGGGATGAACGTGGACGGAGGAAGAGAGTTGTGCCGTTACAAATAAGGAAAGAGAGCGATAAAAATTTCACGTGGGACGTTGTGGATCCCTCCTATTCCCCCAACAATGACCATCTCCCTCCACACCATGCCTACCAGCGACCCCACTGCCCGCCCGCCCCGTCTACGTCGTCGCCGGATGTCCGTGCCGCCCCTGCGCACTGCCCCGCCCCGCCTCCCGCCGTGCCGCCCGCTCCCCCTGTCCCTCGAAGCGCTGGACTTGTCCCCGGCGTCTCCTGCTCAGGCCCTAGCTTCTCTGCGCTTCCTAGTACTCTCCTACCCCCCTGACCTCGAGCGCCGTCTTTCCCTCTTCGAATCCGCCGAATGGGCATCTACCGCTCTAGACATGCTACACTCAATCCACGCCGACGTCTGCCGGACCTCCCCTCGCTGGACCTCTCCCCCGCGCTTTCTCTCGACTTCGACTACTTCGAATTCTCCGAATTCAAAGAGAAACTCAAGTCTCGCCTCAGTGACGTCAAAGGCCTCGTCGCCTCCCTCGACTTCTCCTCCCCGCTCTCCTACGTCCCCACCCTCTCCGCCCGCCTCCGCAGCCTGCACGCCCACCTCGCCGCCGAGCTCCCGTGCTTGAGTTCGAGTTCGCTATCGCTAGGCCGACGTTTGAGTTCCGCCGCCCGAGCTTTGACTTTGACTTCGTCACGCCGCCGCTGTTGAGGGAGCTCCTCGATGCGGACGTGGACGCGTTCCTTGCGGAACTGCCGTCCCTCCCTCGCTCCCTGCGTCCATCTCCTTGCCCTCCCTCCCGCGCGTCTCGTTCTCCGCCGTATCCCTCCTCGACCATGGTTTCGGCTACGAGCATGGGTACGACCACGCGTCCGACGGGCAGCAGGAAGGAGAGGAGTCGAGCCCGACGCCCGCCGACGCGCGGATTCGGCCGCAGGCTCATTGGGTACGAGGACTTGCCGCTCGAGTGGCGCAATAATCCGTGGGTTGTGGTATCATCGGTGCGTCTGTTTTCTCTTTCTTGCTTTTCCTTTCCAATCTCTCTCTCTCTTCTGTCTCTTCTGGCTCCCTCGCGCTTGGTGGGCGAATCCCATCGACATGTCGTTGCTTCGCCCTCCGATGTTCCGTCTCGACGCGCAATACCCATATCATACTCGGCGACAGCGCGTTGAGCGAACGGAGGCGCATCGCGGTGAAGGCGAGACTGTCTGACTGCGCCGTTGCTGGATGTCCGCGCCGCCTCTGTGCGCTGTGCCGCCCTACCGCCCGCTCCCCCTGTCCCTCATTGTCTCCGGCCTCTCCTACTCACTCTGCTCTCCTACCTCGCCGACCTCGAGTGCCGCCTTGCCTTCTTCGAATCCGCCGAATGGGTATCGACTACATGCTGCATCTATATGCACTCCCTGGCCGCGCACCTCCTGTCGCTAGTGCTCTATCATATGGAGCCGCTTGTACAATTGCATGGTCAGCAGCGCCGTCATCGTTCTCACTGCACCGCTTTCGTGCCGTTTACGGGTGCGTTCTTGCTTTCCTACCATTCCCTTCGACGTAGAGACAACACTCACGCGCCGCAGGCTCGTGCCTCCCACCTCCTGCTGACGCTACGGGATCGTTCCTCCCGCTTTTTTTCTTTTTTTTTTGGGGGGGGGCGGGGGTAGGTATTCTGGGATTCAGGTGCGTGCCGCCTTCTGTCTTCAATCCTTTCTGGTCTCTTCTTGCGCCTTTTTCTGCGTGTGCCTGGAGGAGACGGGAAGCGCGGATACACGTGTGTTGTGCTCGGGGCCCGGCGCGTATGCTGTCTACATCGCGGCCCTTCTTGCGTTATTTCTCCCGTTGTCGCGCTCGTGAAAGATGTGGGGATTCGACCTGTATCAGCCATTTGCTCTCCCCCAATCCTCCCTCTGAGTTGGTGGAACCAGGACGGGAATAGGGACTCGATAGGCGTGCTGTAGGGTTGGAGTTAGCGTGCGGATCGCACTCGTTTTGGAGGGAGCCGTGTTGCGTTCGGTGTGTGGATTGGGTGCCGCCCTCAGCCATCCTCGCAGTTCAGACGCCTTCTTCGTCGGCGTCTCCTTCTTCGCGCTACCCTGATGATTCGGGACCCAGGTTGTTGGCAATCGTACCTGCCTCCTTCTTACTCGTATTTCACTTTCGTGCCCCGGGTGCACGGGCGGGCGTGGCTACATGGCTGGACTCCGGACTATGTCTGCGATAGCTTCGTGGCGACGTGCATGTCTCTTCCTGCTGCGTGCGTGTGAGCTGCAAATAGCGCGTGGCAGCCGGGTTGGTATCTTCGTTATTGCTACACTACATGTATTATTATTGTACGGACATTCTGTCCGCTGTTAGATTTTTTGAGTTTGGCATACTCTTCGTTAGATTTTCTTAAGTTTGACAAAAGTGGCTGTGCACGGCTAACTTTGTTTCACGCTGCCATGACCTCCACTTGGAGTTTTTCTCTCCTGGTATGACTGGCGCTCAATCCACACTCACAATATCTTCTTTCAAGTTTCCAAATGAGCTTCTGGTAGCCGTCGCTAGTGCGGGACAAGAGGCCCGGGGTCGCGTCGCAGATTCACACCGGATTTTTAATCAGAATGGGCTTGGTCCCATGTTTCCCGCCACTTTCGTGACGTTGTTGACGGGTCCCCTGAGCTCTGGACGCTAGTCGACGTCAGATTTGATGCCGAGGGATCGAAGGAAATTATCAAACTTTACATGGAGCGTTCCGGAGGGTGTCTCATATGGCAACCTTACGCGGATCCAACCAGGACATCTGAATCTCTTATTACTGCAAGCTGCTGGCAGAGCGGTTCAGCTAGATTGTCCCACACATGGATCGGAGGATATGGAGGTTGAGGATCGTGTTGCGTACGGAGTGGGGGGGGAGACGTGCTGGCCTCCTTCCGCGATGTGGCAGCTCCCAATTTACTGCACCTCGAGATCACAAACGAAATCCAGGACTACGATGATTATTGGATCACCGTCGAAATGTTCTCGTCCGGAGTCCCGAGGTTAAACGTTCGCAACATGAAT